GGGACAGGCTTGCAGAGAACTGAGTGAAGGAGCTCTATGCCTGACTTGCTTTTAAGAGAATGTAGGAAGCTGGTGGGTGGCAAAGAGCTCCATTAGTTTCTCCCTAGAGTCAGCCTGTAAGCACTGGCTGACTGTACAGACAGTACAGAGGCAGGCTGTGGCTATGCCATGTTATTCACAAGACCTTGATCTCCTGGACCCAGCAAAACCTGCTCTGGCCTGACCCAGAGCTTGCTTCTGCTCTGTCCACCCCTACGTACTGTTCTAACTTGGCAGAGTTCTCTGGTGCATTTTAACTCCATATGCAATGGAGTGACATCTCCATTCTGAAGTCTTGCTGTATGTTGACTTGCTTTGATGGTACTCCTTCCTTGCTTTTAAAGGCTTTTCGTTCATCATGTCTTCTAATAATTAAATACTTTTATAGTTTAAACCAATGCTCAGTAGAAACAGAAATATAATGCAAGCCTCAAACACAAGCTGCATATGTAATTTTAAATTTTCTGTTAGACACATTGAAAAAAGGTAAAAAACAAGTCGTATTAATAATATAGTTTTAAAACTCAGTATTCAAAATATCATTTGAACATGATATGAATTAATATTTCAAGATTAATAATATTCACATTCTTAGTGAGATATTTTACGTTTTTTCCCTACTAAATCTTTAAAGTTGTATCCTGCATTTACATCCATCTCGATTAGGACTAGCGACATTTCCACTGCTCCATAGCTGCCAGTGGCTAGTGGTACCAATTGGACAACACAGTTCTAAACTCCGCTCATTTTCCAGTTATAACGCATAGGTCCACTGCATTCATTCCAATTTCCAGAAAGGAAGACGATTGTGATTGAAATGATGATGAGCAATATCACCGCTAGATGACCTACTTTCCTTGAGCACTCGGTATTTGTAAGAAAACTACACTTCTTTTTATCCTTAACTATTCATTCAAATTGCCCTTGAATGGGTTTTAAAAAAAAATGAAAGCAGCAAGCCATCTTTCTTAAAAGTTAGTCCAACTTGTTTTCAGCTTAAAATGGAAATATTTGGGAATGGTCATACTGGGAATAGCCTTAAAATTTAAAGTATAGTAGACAAAACCCCATTAATCTACCTGTGGTTAAGATGTTAGCTGCCATTTTTCTTTATTACTTTATCTGTGGAATGTCCTCAGTGTTTTAAGTATAAAATGTGTTCAGAAATAGATGGATAGATTATGCAACAAACATGAGACCAGCTTCCCCCACCCACATACACACACATAACCTGGTTCCTGTTTTTTTTCATTTGCACCTTTCTGATATATTTTTCTGTATATATACATGTTCACTATTATGTAATAGTTTAATATCATTATAACATTATTTAGAGGACTCATGATAATAATTTTTGTCCTGATATATTGAAATATATTAATACTATAAGATGTATGCTTTATTCCTCAGTAAGATTTCTCTTTGATTTCTATTTATTATGCTTCTGACTTCATGAAGTACAAGAAAACTTTGCCCCCAAAAATATTTCATGAACTCAATTAGATGCCCCCTAATGTATATATGTATATATTTCCCCCACCCAAAAATAAGCTCTTTGCTCACAGGCATGTCTATTTCATCTTCATGCCTCAGGAAACATTCAGTCCAGAGTAGAACATACATTAAATTTTCACTGTTAGTTGAATAATTGGCACCTACAGATTCCTATAGCTTGGCTTTGGGACTCAGACTTGTACAGTGGTTCATCTTTTTTATTCTTTTCACAGAACCTGGGAAACTAAGTGTGGACAATAACAGAATGCTCTGTAATCCCTTAATCTAACTTGGAGTATGTGTTTCTTGATATAACTATTATGGAAGTAAAATGCTATCAACCATTTTTTCCTCTAGCTTTATTCATTTTTCAGCTGTAACATTTATGAATACCTATTTAAATTATGAACAGATGAGAAATTAATCTTACATGTGAAAAATTTAAAACTGAACAACAGTTAGCTCTCATTTGTGCTTATTAAAATAGCCACAAAAATAATTAAAATTGTGATATCCAATGCTGTTGTGAAAAACGATTGTTGTAAAAAGTTGTGAAAAAGTAACACAGAGTGGATGCCTATAAAAGCAATGCCTATAAATTTTTTTAAATTGCCTATAAAAGCAAATAAAACTCAGAGCCCTTTTAGAAAGCAATTTAGAAATATGCTGTTAGTGCCATAAAATGTTTCCATTGACTAATAAATTCAGATAATTTATCAAAATTAAATTATTTGACAGAAAAATATGAATATATTTACAGAGGTGTTTATTTTAGTTTAATAGTAAAAATTGGAAGAACTCGAGTATTCAACAATGTGGGACTGATTAAACAAATGATCACACCTGACTTTGATAGATGGTTAAACTATTCACAAGGCAGTATTCATAAATACTGTGTGAAAACAAATGAGTGATATAAAGATTTTAAAAATCAGAACATCACGCTATGCAATATGCTTACAATTGCCTGAAAATATGTAAGCGTAAATAACAAAGACCAGAAGGAGACAGGACAAAATGAAAACAATTATTATAGAGTGATGGAATTACAGGTAAAATTTTTCGTGGCCTTTTATGTTAAAGATTAACAATATATATTATCAAAGAAAAAAAGAGATTAAGCTTTAGTCCCTCAATGTTCATATATTAAGGAGAATGTTATGCAGATACCTAAGCAACATTTCTCTTCCTTGCTTTGAAATCTCAGCATGAATTTTGTCCGGTTCCAGGGGCTTAACCATGTTTTAAAAAAATAACTCTGGCTACCATGGTTATTCTTTGAAAGTCTAAACAAAGTTTGCATTGTTTCCTGGCGGCATCTCTTATTTGCATTAAACCATGAGTTATGATATTAGTGCTTCCTGTTGTGGATTCTTTGAAGCAAGCAGACTCCAGAGCTCTTTTTCTGGTTGTACAGTAAATGCTAGTCCTCTTTCAGGGTGTATTCTGTTTCCAAGTTCTTATCCTTTGTTATGTACAAATGGCATATCAAAATTTTCACATAATGACCATCATTATTCTAAGTCAACATTTTTTTTTTCCCATTTTACCAAGGAAAGTGCAAGAGTTACAGTTACAATGTGACTTTATATAGGAAGCAGATTTTCTTTCCAAGAGGTTAAGACTTTAGCAATTTTAATAACTACTGTAATAGTAAAATACTTTTTGCTATTTTAGAAAGGCACCACAAGCTTCACATTGCCAAATTTATATGGTAGATATTAAAAAATCATCTCTATGTGGGTTATATTTAATTCAGATTTCTATACATTCTGACAGTCATTTATAAGTGGGATTATAAACAAAATAATAGGACTGAAATATTTGTCATCTACTCTCTCCAAATTCCTACATACATTCATTCACTTATCAATGTAACATGGTGTTAAGAGCATAACTTCTTAAGCCAGATCATGAAGGTTCAAGTCCTGACTATGGTTATGTAAATCTGGACAAATTACTTAACTGCTCTATGCCTTAATTTCTTTACCTGTAAAATAGAGATAAAAATAGTACTTACCTCAAAGAAATTTGTGAGAATTGAGTCAATGAATTTAAAGATCCTGGCACTTAAGAAATGTTACTATTTTTATTAATATACATGTTTTTGAAGCTAAGAACACAAATACAAAAGTGACAGAATTCCTGCCCTCCAGGTGACTTAGGAAACATTCTCAAAAATCAATTAAGTTTGCAGTGAACCTAAAACTGCTTTAATAGTAAAGTCGACTTTTTAAAAATCAACTAAGGAGCAACTTTACTAGCCTCAATGGAAAGAAGAAATTTGTCCAATAATTGAGGCACACAGTGAAGGACTTTCAGAATGTTTTAAAATGGTAACAGAATTCTAATTGCTGTAAGTTTGAGCCACATGGAAGCATACAGGGCCAAAGTATCTTTTCTTTGTTTCTGGGCAGTTCAGGGAGATTTCTCTCTTTGGAAAACAATTGCTGGTTCAGAGTCTTGAAAGACTGGTATACATCATCATCCTTTTGAAATAGAAAATTTTTCTGGCCTAATAGCCATGATCTTTTGCCCAAAAGCCTATCATTCAATATGATAATGAGATCCATAAGTCTGAATGTTTTATTCTAATTATTTTTATAATGAAATTGGAAAGAAAAACCAAAGCTATTTTTAGTGTTTATTTTGTGTCAAATGTGTCTAAATGAACTAAGCAGGTGTTCAAAGATGTGTATGTTTTCCAATATTTAGGTTTGTAAATGTTCATTTAGGTCTAATGTGAAAACAGAATGATTTATTCTTTCTTTTTCTGAGCTGATGAATCACTTAAAAGTCTTTTGCCGTGGCCAGGTGTGGTGGCTTATGCCTGTAATCCCAGCACTTTGGGAGGCCGAGGCGGGCAGACCACGAGGTCAGGAGATCAAGACCATCCTGGCCAACATGGTGAAACCCCATCTCTACTAAAAATACACACACACAAAAAAATTAGCTGGGCATGGTGGCACATGCCTGTAATCCCAGCTACTTGGGAGGCTGAAGCAGGAGAAATGCTTGAACCCAGGAGGCAGAGATGGCAGTAAGCCGAGGGGATGCCATTGCACTACAGCCTGGGTGACAGTGCGAGACTCCATCTCAAAAAAGAAAAAAAAAAAGGTTTTGGCCAAGACAGTCTTATATTTTTCAGGTGTCTTTTACTCATTCAAAAAATATTTATTTGAGGCTCACAATGTACCCAGCAACATGCTAGATACTAATATCCACTGGTAAGTTGCCTCAGTTTTCTTAATGATGAGAAAACTGAACAAAGGAAATTAACCCCGTTGTATCCCTGCTCCATTACATGCAGCATTTTGGACCATGGAAGCTAGCTTGAATTTAAACTAATAGTCACTTATTCTTTATCTATTTCTAGAGAATTATTAGATGGCTGTCTCCTCTAATGATCCACGTAATGTATTGATTTTGTCTATTTTACTTAGTTATGTCTGTTTTTCTATTTTGAGGGTGAGCCCGGGTTGCCTGGAGCAGTAGGACAGGGTGGAATACCAGGACCAAAGGTTAGTACAAGTAAAGCCAAGCAGAATCATTTGACACATGAATTGTCGGGAAATCGTAAGCTATTATTTAATACAATATTTTTTAACGGTCTCACCAGTTGTATTTAAATGGGTACTTTGTGAATAGTATAATTAATATGCTACAGTATAGAACTTTGTTACTAATGAATTAATTATATTTGTGATTCTCATTAGCATTAAAATGCAGAAAAATAAATGGGATGTAATTGCCTAACATCTTTATTCTAAGATACTTAACATGAGTAGGCCTGTGCTTCAAATATGACTGTTGTCATTTTACCACTTAATGGATATATAAAAACATAGGTCATGTCCATATTTCCTAAAATTTTATTTACATGCCTTACTAAAGATGACATTCACTCTGGCTTTTCCCCAAGATTTGGCCACCTCCAACTCTTACACAACATAACCAGTTAATCACATGAAGGCAGAATAAAGATGTTTAAAATTTAAAAATGGATGTAGTCTGAATTACTAAATAGGGAAAAAATGTAACGAAGATTTTTTTATTCCAAGTTTTGTTTCTTAAAAAAAATTGAATCAGTTAAATATAAAAAGATCGATGACAATTTAGTTTGAACCAAGCAGGCAGCCAAATCCCAGATCCTTTGATGAGTGAACATCCCTTGAAGTACAAAACTAATGTCTAATCCCATCAGCTGTGCTGGTGTGTATTCGTACCCACAGATGCCTGTCAGCTGATTTTACAGATCATTTGCTATTGACAGGCGCCTAGGACAGACCTTAAATTTATAGACCTATCCTTTGTCTTGCAGGAGAGGAAAGAAAATATTCCTTCTGGGACTATAGCTGTTTTCCTGTCTTCTCTCTCTTTCTCCATGCTAAAAAGCCAAACAATAGGAGTTAATGCTTAATGCATGTTCACAGTGCTGTTCTTGTGTTGCCTAGAGACCATCAGGATGGGTGTTGAGCAGTGAAGGTGACCAGAAATACAGAAAGCCAAAGGGTCAGGTTGAGTTCCAGAGAAAAGAGTCTTGCTTCCAAACTAACTTCTGCAGTGGGTTATACATTTTTTAAAAATACAATAATCACCTTATTTCATTTTTTTTTCAAACCAGTCTGATCTCATGGCAACATTTACTCAAGATTTTCATAGGAAATTATTATCATAATGTCTATGATTCTCCTACTCGCCTGCTCCAACCTCTGTCCTTTCCTGGGCAAAGTGAAAATGAGATTCTCTTCAGGGCACCATTTGGCATTTTAGTCCTCATGCTATCCAGGTCATTTTGAGTAAGGACATCATTCCAAAACTCACTTCAGTTCTGCCCCATTCTAGTGTCTTTCCTCAAGGTGCTTTCTGAAATATAACTGATCTGGAACATGCTGGTTACCAGAAGCTAAAGAGAGTTCGTGACATTGTAAAGAGGTTCAAGATTAGGACTGCTTATGATCATGTTAGGGCAAGACAGATTGGGTAACTACCCTGGCACCCTAGACCCTTGAAATCTATAAACCAGGTGATGCTTTGAATAAATGGATTTTTATAAAAACATGCTTGTCTACCTTATTAATTCTGAGTTTTAACAGAACGAAAAATTGTAGGCTAAGATGCCTCTCAAGATATTGAATTGCCACACCATTATTCTCCTTAGTGCCCCAAAAGCCAGTTTCTGGATGATAATCTTAAAATACATTTCTTTAGTGCTATATGCTATAAAAGCAAAAAATTAAGACTACATTTGATAATTGATATTCATACTCAAATTCTCCAGGAAACTTATTTTATCATTTATTTTCATTAGCAACTGAATGTAGCCAAAATAGAAAATGTCATGCATAATTTACCTAGTAAGTTCAATATCTGTTTTCTTTAATAATAAAATTAGATGTTTTATGATTTGATGTCACTACATCTCTGTCCTTTTGCTCAGGGAGAACCTGGAGAACAAGGTGAAAAGGTAAGAATGATTTTGCCTCTATTTCTCTCCTCCTACTCCCCACCACTAGCACAACAAAGAAGTACTCAAACTAAAGTGTATGCGTGAAGGGATGTGCAGATGGATGGATGGATGGGTGAGTAGATTAATAGATAGGTGGGTAGGTAGATAGATATACATAGATAGATATAGATATAGATATAGATATAGTTATAGATATAGATATATAGTGACCTCTGTGTTTTTTTTAAACTGTTAATTAGTGGAAGGAAGAAATTGTGTGATTCTTATGTATAGACAAAAATCTGGGTAAAGTTTTAAAACATAAAGAGAAAGGTGCTGATATACTTTCAGAACAAATATTTAAAAATGAAGAGAAATGGAACAATTTAAACATTTTATGTCTGGTTTTTAAATGGGCTTAAACATTCCTGTGGCGTGCAAAATCTGGCCTGCCCTACTTGCTAAGCAATTCTGATTCTTTTCCAAGTACCCGCATCTCTCTCTACTACTTCTAATGTCACTAGGTTAAGAGGATACAGATGTTTACCTGCAGCAATTATCTGAAGGTTGTCCACAAAGAATTCCCATAAAAACCAAAAAGAGAAACAGGAAAAGCAGAGTGTTAAATTATTCTTAGACTGTTTTTCTCACTTGGGCGTGTCCTGATTATTTTTAGGCTCTCATTGCAGATTATGATACTTACTTTCCTGGTTCTCATGCTACTTATTTTAATAGTGTTTGAAAAATATGCTAAGTAGGAAACTACCAAAATACTACATCATGCTCTTCATAAGTGATATGATCTTTCTGACAAATCAGAATTATAACCTCTAATCTCAAAAGAAGTTTATCTAAAGATCAAGGAAAATTTTTGATTATGACTGTATTTTTCAGCATTATAAAGAAAACAAAAAAAAAAAAAAAAAAAAGGAGAGCAAAATATGTGGGTGGAAACGGCAGTTCCCTGAGGCGGCAGCTCAGTTAAACCCTTCACTTTGCAACCATTCTGAACCAGTTTCCCTGCTAAGAAGGGTTGTTTGTTTGTTTTGTTCTTTAATAAAGGGATTTTTGAGCAATTTTATAAAAAGCCTGCAAATCAACTACCTTTCAAAGGTCCCTCATAGCACATTACTAGGACATTTATTTAGTATCCAATCAGTTCATGGTAATTAACTTGAAATTAATTAGTCACTGGATGCCTCTTTTGTATAGAAATTAGGAGGGAAAAGGAACAATAGCAGCACCATACCAGGCGTTCATCAGAGAAAGTGTCCCAGGCTCTTGTGGCCTGCTGCGGTGTATTTGTCACCATATGCCCAAGCAAACTAACTTCATGCTTATTTGAAAGAATAAAACAAAATACAGAGAAAAAAAGTGAAAGTTACCCTCCCCGACTTTCTTTCTCCCCTCTCCCAAGAAAGTTATTATCAATAGTTTCTGTCCTATTTTGAGAAACTTTTTGAGTAATAGGAAAGTGACTGCATTCCAGCCTATAAAATATGTGAATAGTAATGCATTGTTATCATTAATGGCTTATGATGTGCCAGATACTGTCCTATTTGCTTTCCACACAGTGTAGTACTTATTTCTTATAACTGTGTAAATTATCCTTGCCCTTATATTACACAGGAGAAACTTGATGCAAAGAGAATTTCATTTGCCCAGTAGGTGCTGGAACTGGACTGTGTCCTTGGCTCAAAGTCCATAACATTTCCACATAACATATTTTAAGACTAAATTGAATTCAGAATTTAAGGAAGAAAGCCTGGATAATAAACAAATGCTTTATTTCCATAAAGCATTGATTTGTGGGTAGAAAGGAGATGTCAGTGGGGGAATAGCATAGGAAGTCTCAAAAATAACAAAAAAGCATCGACTATAATTTTAAAAAATTTCTCTAGTAAAGCATAAAACATTCATTCCATACATGCAAACCATGTAGGCCCAGATAAATACTCAGTCCACAGGTTTTGAGGGCCTGTCATGTACTTTGAGGCCCTGGAGATTTGAGATATGCTTGAAGACAGGGTAGGATTTACACAGATGGAAAGGGAAAGAGAGGACAGGGATCCAGGCAACAGGAATGGTGCGACCAAGGACACAGAGTGTTAAGGCCCATGGCCTTACCGTAGTCAGGGAACTGTCAGGAGAAAGCCTTTGTTTGAGTGGAGCTTTGAGCAGAGATAGAATTAAAGAGGTTTTAAGTGCCCCAATAAGATATTGGAAGACAGATAAGTAATTATTTTCAGTTAATACTGTGGAAGAGTTTAAAACTGTTCAGCCATGTTCATTGAAATAAAATTTCTTTTATTAATATCAGACAACTGGTCAAGTATAAGTATATTAAGGAAAGCTTAAAATAATGAAAAATACTCTTTGCTTAATGTCACCAATGTATTTTACATGTGTCACTTTCTCCCCTCCTCAGGGAGACGCTGGAGAGAATGGCCCCAAAGGTGACACAGGCGAAAAGGTACAGTTTTGTAAGCTATGAAAGGGTACATATTTGAGCAATAAGTATTTTTTTCTTTTTCTTTCTTTTTCATTTCATTTCTTGAACAATAAGTATTTCAAGTTTATGAAAATGAGTGAGAATTGCTTAACATGAAAAGGCCAGAGATCATTCTCCAAGATTAGAAAACATTTAAATATTTGATTTATAAAACATGGTTATTCCACAAGCTCCTATCCATAAATAAAAATATTTTGAAAGTAAAATGATATATCAAAATTCTAGAAAATGTGTAGCTAAGTTTTTAGTAGTGTGGCTTTCAAGGAATGAAAACACTTATTGAAGTTTACATGGGACACTCCCTTCATATGCAGGGATATGAAAATAGAGGTCCTAAAGTGAATCAGTTTGTACCAGTTTTAGGAGAGAACATGTCAAAGGGTTGGAATGAGATTTGAAAGTTTGATTATAGCCATAAGAATAATATAATGGACTTTGGAAACTTGGGGAAAGGGTCGGAGGGGGTGAGGATAAAAGACTGCACATTGAGTACAGTGTGCACTGCTTGAGTGATGGGTGCACCAAAATCTCAGAAATCACCACTAGAGCATTTAGCCATGTAACCAAACACCACCTGTTCTCCAAAATACTATTGAAATAATAATTTTAAAAAGAACAGGAAGAGAAAAGTTTGATTATAAGTTAATGTCACTTGATTACACACTCTAATATAGTCTTGAAAATTTACCTAAATTCAAATTCCACTGAATCTGGATATTTTGTCAGGCTTTGTATTCTATCCTGGGGCAGAGGGTCTTTTAAACCATTACTAGCTTTTATACTGCAGTAGTCTTGTGTCTCATCTTCTGCCTCCTCTCTTCTTACTTTTCCTCAGTCTATCATAGCTTTTGCTTGGATTCATACTTGATAAATACCTCTGACAGAGGAAGGATGTTTTACTTCACTTGTGCTATGTGTTAAGGATTAAGTAGATCTTTTAAGAAATTTAAAATAGAATAAAGTCAGTTGGGTTTTAATTTAAATCAAGCTGAGTAATTGAGTGATGAAGAATTATTTAGTCTTACGCTTGAGACTAAGACCATTCCACTTTGAAAATGATTAAAGTACAGATGGATAATGGTTGGTCATAAAAGAACATAGCCACAAAATAAAAAGAAATCTATCTTTCTTCTTCCCATAAATATTAATATAAATATGGCACGTGTGATAGGAATGAATGGATGTCACCAAGTAGCAGTTGTATTTATATTCAAGGAGTCTAGAAATTAGAGTGAACTCTCAGTTTCTTATAGATCTGTGTTTGTCAACCTCAGCACTATTGACATTTGGGGCCAGATAATTCTCTGTTATGGGACTGTCAGATGTTTAGCATCATTTTCGGCCTCTACCCACGAGACGCCTATAGCACCTCCGAGTTGTAACAAACATGTCTTCAGACATTGTCAAATGTTACCTGGGGGGACAAAGCCACCCACAGTTGAGTTTCACTGCTGTAGTCCCATTTTATTTATCTGCCAAATTTAAGTGTCATTCTGCAATCAACTATGGCATGAATCTGTTTAATACAAATGAGGCCAATGATATACCCTGATTACTCTCAAAGTCCAAATTTGAAACCCTAAGAATATAAACCTGGGTGTTATATCTAACTTGCTTGCTTTTGCTTAAAAGCAGAAGTCAGTAAAATGCCAGAACATAAATATTTTAGATTGTGTGGGCCATGTGGTCTCTGTCACAGCTACGCAACTCTGTTGTTATGGCGTGAAAGCAACCACAGACAATACATAAACAAGTGAGTAGGCTGTGTTCCAATAAAACTTTATTTCTGGACACTGAAATTTTAATTTCATGTAATTTTCATGTGTCATGAAATATTATTGTTATTTTGATTTTTAAAAACCATTTTTGGCTCTTGGGTCTTGCAGGTGGCCAACTGAATTTGGCCATAGTTAACCAACTATTTGCCCTCTGTGTAGAATATTTCCTTTCTTTCCACTTAAAAGAAAGGAAATATTCTACACAGAGGGCAATTTTTTTCAAGTGAAAAAAAATTTATACTATGTCTGAACTATGCCTATGTGGCTTTGTGTAGAGAATTTTATGATTAAAATATGTCTTTTTAAAGCTTCATTTTTGGAATGTAGGCCAATAATTGTTTCTTTAATCACCTTGTAAAGTTAAATATTTTGAAATTTAATTTTACAATGGTAAAACAGCTTTTTTCTTTGAAAAGAGCAAGGTCATCTCAAAGGAATACTGTTCTTATTTTATATATTAATGCAAATCATTTACCATACGACTCACACATAATAAACTCTCAATAAATATTAGCTTTTCTTCCCACATGGAAACTGAAATCAACTAGATTGTTTTTCTTTTTTTATCAAAAAATTTTATTAGTCAGCTGAAATTAAGTATAAGAAATGCTTCAGTTAAAACGGAAATCATTTCTATAAACCTTTAATGTGTCTAAACAGGGGATTGTAAATAGGAATCTGTAATGTGTATAATATGTAATCTGACCTGTAGCATTTATCCCAAAAATGCTGTAATTGGAATATAATTTTTGATGTGTTTTTTAAACATTTCCTGCTTCTGTCATATAATTTGTTTCCAGCATGTTGGAAACACTCTTCTCATGGCTTTTGTGTTCAGTATGTGAAACTCATTCATCATTTACCGCATTTGAGATGTAAAATGTTTTTTAAAAATGCTTCTTTTACTGCCATTGATGTAGTAAATTACGTCATTGATTGACTTTATAGGATTTTTTTTCCTTTTGATTCACCTCAGCGCCTTTGGATGGTAAAGTAATCTAAACCTTTCCAGACTGGTCATCTGGAAATACTGTGGAACTATAAAAACCACTAGGCTGGGTTTTCTCTGGCCAGCAGCTTCAGCACATTCTGGCCAACCACCATGGTACACCCCAGGTTTAAGAGCGTAAACCTGCCGAAGACAGAACTCAGTCATGTGTAGAGTTACTAACGAAGGGTATGCTCCACTCTTTGGAGTGTTAATCCCACCAACAAATGTAGAAATTGATTTCTTATCTGTTTTCACCTGTGTGAAATGGGGTATTCGTGTGGCATACTAAATGGTTTGGCCACATCACTCTACTCTTCACAATTCTGCCTGTTGATTCAAAAACTCTGCTTTCACTTTCTTAGCATGATCTGTTTTTGTTTTTGTTTTTTTCTCCCCTCTTCCCCATTTCCATTCCTGTGTATATTCACACTATCTTCATCTTCATACTTTACATCTACATAGCAAAGACGAATGCATGAAACATGAAGTATGAAAATGCATCTCTGACTTGCATCCTCTGAACCTTTTCAGAAGGCACATTGTATTTGGAGCCAACCAAACTGTCTTCTTTTCATAAAATCACACATGACAGGCTATCCCAGTGGGCACTCCCACCCCAATCAGTGCTGAGCCTTCTCTAATTAGCACATGTCATTCCCGTAATTTAGAATACTGTTGCTGTCTGTCCTCCTTCCCCTGACTCTTCATCGCCACTTTTCTACTTTCTAATCTTACTCATTCCGCAGTCCACTGTAAACTTAATTTATAAGTCATTTCCTTAGAAGAGCCTTCAGTCGCCTCTAGACTGGGTAGGTCACCTGTTATATGCTTCCACCACACTCTTTATAATTCCTTTGATAGTCATGCATTCGCTTGTCATGTCTTCTGTGCATGCATAGTGACCCAGAATTTTCCAAACATGACAATCTCTACCTACACCAGATTTCAAGAAAAAAAAAAAAAAAGGAAAGAAAGAAAAATTATCTTTCATGCCTTCCATCAATAATAAATTATTGATGGAAATTTATGATCTTTCATGCTTTCCATCAATAATATTTTTGCACTATATATATTGGAAAATAATCATTTTAATGCAGGACAAGGACTGTGATTGTAATTGCATTGTTCATTGTTATCTCCCAGCTCTCAGCATCTATTAATAGATATGTCTGGCCCATAATTAGTGGTCAATAAATATTTGTTGAATGAATTAATGAATGATAAAAATAAGTCCCTACACTCACTTTATATATCCACATGTGCCTTATTAACACATACATATAATTATCTACTGAGTGTTGTTTTGAAAATAATCACAAACAAAAGTGGAAACTTTGCATGAATGAAAAATAGTAAAGTCAAATTCATTTATCTCAAGTATCTTCTCATAGTATTTCCTCATCTATAACTTAACTTGCCCTGTAGAAGTTTTTATTTCCAAGCCAAATGACTGCTAAAGTTGAGTATACTTAAGACACAGCTGGGGATTTTTCCCCCTACTTTAATCCAGTATTCATTTTCACTTTTGGGGGAAGGAGGATTATAAACACACACTGTTTTATTTCCACTACTTGTAGCATTATCCTTTAAAATGTTTAACTTATGATTGTCTTCCAGAAGTCATGTTACCACTGAAAAGTTATAAAAATTCCTTGAGATTTCACAGTTCTAAGTCTTTAAAAAAGAAAAATAAAATCACTCTTAGTTGTCCATCAAATGAAATGTCTCAGATTTCCACAAATATGTTGGCCTTTCAAGAAACTGTCTTTTTCTTTCCATTCACTTTTTATGAGAACGAAATCTAGTCTTTACTCACATTAGAGATTATCTGAATGCTTTCCATTAAGATATTGAATTAAACTACAATTAATAGAAGCAACTTCCTTGTATTTACAAGTTTACTACAACCTTTATGCCCTGTTGTTGAAATGAAATAAGCCAACAATTCTTTTCTATTTAAAAAAGGAGAAAGAAAAAATAACATGACAGTAGAACTTAGGAAGCCCCAAATTCATTTAACCTCTAGCTGCTTTTATATCCTTGTTTATTAAGTGGAAATAGTAATGTCTGCCCCTTTATTTCATGAGAATTTAATGAGGTTTAAATGAGATAAAGTAGGAACTTTGCAAAGTCAAAATCGTTTTTATGAATTCAAAGATGTTATTGTATAAAATATTGTAAACCTGATTCATTGGTACTGATGACTTTCAGACTTAATTTAGTAGAAATAGAAATAAGTGTTCTTACTGGCCACATTTATGCTGCTTCCCATTTGGAACTCAATGAGATATTAATGATTGGCAAGATAAATCAGTCATTCCACAGTTAAGACAGTATTAGGGTCCTCTTTATGTTTAATTACATTTTAATTTTCAACAGGAGAAATAGCAATTATAGATGTAAAGAAACTCATGTAACTGTTTCTTTAACAAGCTAATTTGCTATTTCTTTCTTTTTTTCTAAGCTTCTTTTTCCTTTCCTAAAGAATTTTACATTTTGATCCTTGACAATTGGCCTGTTTAAAAACTCTTTGAGATTTGATCATTCATTCACCATACGTGTATTGAGCATGTACTATGGGCCAGGGAACTGAATAAAAATAGATCCAGAATCTGCTCACATGAAGCTGACTGTATAATGAAGAGACATGCAATGAATAGGCAGGAAACATAAATAGGCAATTACAAAGCGAACTGCGGTGGACATGAACAGAGCATGATGCTACAGGGTTAAGATGTGTGCATGAGGGGCACGTGTCTGATATGTCTAGGCTGGTTGGTGAAGGGCTTTTTGAGGCAAAGCTGCTTAGGCAAGAAGTGAAGGGAGAAAGTGCCAGCCCTGGGCAGAGGAGAGAGAAATTGAGGGAGCGGGGCAAGTGGCCCGTGTACAGAGGCCTGAGTCCTTATGTCTGTCTCTAAAAGAGATTGATGAGCAGCTTCTGGAATCTAGAACAAGGAAATGGGCCCCCGGAGCTCCTTGAGCATTTGTACAGATGAGACAGCTGAGGAAATCCCAATATGTGCCTCCCTCCTGTGGCTGTTTTTATTTTCTTGACAGTCTCAAATGGCCTTTCTTTTTCCTTCTAGCATATTCATGAGACAGACAGGGCTAGAAGGAACTTGAAATTCTAGGCCCTTTGCTGGCCTCATTTCAGAAATAAGCAACATTCCCAGCTACCCACCTTTTTCTTTTCTCCATTAGTTCCTATCTGCTTATTTATAACACATTTCCTTTAGAGAAGTAGTCACCCTCTATGAAATCTGGCTGGAATACAGTGCTTTTAAAATAACAGATTCTGACTTAAGACTTTCTCTCAGAGCTCACATGTGTCCCCCTCACCCACAAGTCATCCATCATCCTGTAACTTCCTGGTGACTGAGTTACAATGAAATAAGTGTAAAGCTGGAAAAAACGTGCCTGTTGTAACTGTGACGGTGCTTCACGAGGAAAACAAACTGATCTTTTGCGTGGCTTTTTCTAACTCGACATCATTAACATCTGACTTCATCTGTTGAACCTTGACTCACTGAATAGCAAAAGGGTCAGGGAACTCCCAGTAAATGATAGCTAATGGCATTAATACATTCCAGGAATAGAGAAAGTCAAAAGTTCCATATCCCTAAATTATAATTTATTGCTTCACAATGTATTTTTAGCACTGTATCGAAAGAAGAAATTCATATTTATGTTTATTTCAGGGAATGTAGTCCTTATGTATCTGTAATCAAAGTAAACCCATGTTTTTAGGAAATGCATTGTTTATCCTGTAAATTGTTGACATCTTAACAGCTGAGATATTGGTACGAAGTCTTATGGAGCATAGTTAGGTCCATTAGTCATGAGGTCCCTTTGAGTACCCGTGTTGGTAATGGCTCTCTGGGTGCTTGTGATGTTTCCTCTTCCCATAACTTGTGGCATAATCTTTCCTGGGTTTCATTTTAGGGTGACCCTGGATCATCTGCTGCAGGAATTAAGGTAACTATAACCTTGCAAGTATTTGTATTCCAGGAGTTACAGTACTGATTTTTATAGGCCTCTACTTTCTCTCCCTTTTTTAGCAACTTTGATGATTATAACTTTGTTTCTATTCTCCTGCAATAACTGGGCTTCCAAAAACAACAGGGAGTATCTGTGGGAAACTTGATGAAGGTTTAAATAAGAAGTCTTGCACTCTCTTCCCTTTCTGATTGGTTTTTATGGAAATGTGGATTTATATGTGATCTATAGGTATATATATATATATATATATATATATATATATATATATATATATATTTTTTTTTTTTGAGACGGAGTTTCACTCATGTTACCCAGGCTGGAGTGCAATGGCGCGATCTCGGCTCACCACAACCTCCGCCTCCTGGGTTCAGGCAATTCTCCTGCCTCAGCCTCCTGAGTAGCTGGGATTACAGGCACGCACCACCATGCCCAGCTAATTTTTTGTATTTTTAGTAGAGATGGGGTTTCACCATGTTGACCAGGATGGTCTCGATCTCTTGACCTCATGATCCACCCGCCTCGGCCTCCCAAAATGCTGGGATTACAGGCATGAGCCACCGCGCCCGGCCGATCTATAGGTATATTTACAGCAAAAACAGCAAAAAAATCCCTATGTCTTGTGAGATGTAGAGTCACAGGATAAAGGAAATAAAAGACATGTGGTGAAGAAGGGGGCTAGCCCATCCCTGTGATGGTGGCCAGAGGCCTCAGGGTTTTAGAAAATTCTTATAAGACTTCCCTTTTCATCTTTGATTTTCTTTGATCAGGGAGAACCTGGAGAATCTGGTCGTCCAGGGCAAAAGGTAATATCTCTATCTCTAGTGTGATCTTACTGTCTCATATTCACCATTTTATATCTACCATCCACTGTGTAATATGAAAACAATTATTGCAAAATGATGTGGTTTTCATGTTTTGCATTACAGAGTGTTATTGGTTATTTTGCATTTTAAAAAGTCTTGATGACCATAGCACAATGTACAAACAAACTTTATACATGTAAAAGGATGCTTTGTGAAATAAAGTCTACACACACTTAGCTGTTTGAAACTAACAAAGATCAGGTGATTGGAATGCCATCAATTTATCTTTGCATGCTTCATGGTAATATGCATGTTTCTATCTTTTTAAAATAATTTTTAATAGAAAAACTCTTTCTATAACTGGCTGTGTTGCTTTGATATTTCTGTCAGTAAACTGTCTCAATAGTGATGGACAATTCTTTATGAACTATATTCCTTTTCCTATCATTGCAAATGCTTCCATGCTAATAATTTTGTATGTGATTTACATCTACTTGTGCTATGGTATTGTTAAGCACACGAAATTTGTTAATGAACTAAATTTTAATTAGAGACACTAGCCATACCATTTTCTGGATACAATAGTTTTTGCTTTTTTCATTTGTATGTCACTTTAGCAATAACTTAGAGGACATGCAGTGACCATGTTTCGATTCATACTCTCATTTGAGTCTGAAACAGGAAACACATGCTAGCAGTTTATTGTCTGAGCATTTGGATATCAATGCCCATACAATCAGATTTTAGACCACAGATGTAGCTGGCCAGTAAATGTGAATTCCACATTGGGTTAAACCTCTTAAGATCATGACTCTGCCTTTGTCTAGCAGTAGCTGATGTTGTAGATAAACGTATGAACAGAAAAATAAATTTACTCCATTGGCGGGAAAGGGAAAAGAGAATAAATCCCTTCTTGTATTTTGGAGCCTTAAGACATAGTAAAATAACGTTTCCACCTTCGTGAAGTCATTGAGAGGATAATTGCTTTGTTTTAAACACTTAGGATAGACATAATTTTTGAGAAGGTCTTTCACGTTCTTTTAACATTTCTTTAATTTAAAAACAGATTTTTCTCTTAAAACTGAGTCTGAGCAATGACTCATTAGGCCCAGTTTGAGGTAAAGTTGAGACTCTTTCAAAGAGCCTAGGAGAACTCTGCAAATTTTACTATTTATTGTCTAAGATTTCCTATCAATTCTTTATATCACTAATTCCAGATTTCTTAAATAAAGATCTGTGGTCTGCTTTGGTTTGAAAAAGCAACTGATCTTCTCAGACAATCTAATTTTAGTTCCCTTAGTCTTTCAAATTTAAAGGCTAAGTTTTTACTGCTCTGCAAATCCGTGATTTGCTAAAAAGTCTGCAAGACTGTTGTGTCTCTAAAAAATAAACCAAAACAAATCTGCTATAATCTTGTATAATTTTCACTGTTTTCAGAGTGGAATATTCAAATAGATTTTCAATTACTTAATAAAACATTGCCTTATCATAATGATTACTTAGAAATCCAGGTTAGATTCATTCTGGAAGTTTATAGATTTACACATGGGAACAGTGGATTTCCTTTGCATTGCATTAAAAACTAGTTTAAAACTATATTGAGAGAAGGGGTAGAATCCTTAAAAGCTTACAGTCTTCCTGAATGAATATGTGCCCTAAAATGAGCATCATCTTTTTCATTAATATTTAGGCCAGATTCTACCCTTCGATACAATCTCATATTCCTAACATAATTATGACTTCCTTTGTCTAATATTGGGAATAGGCTATACTAAGCCCAACACTGATTTAAAAGTAAAGTATGCCCATGCTTGCTGCTGACAGAGATTAGAGAAATAAACTGAACTGAGTACAGAATCACTTCAAGAGATCTTCCATAGCATTTTCCTCTCCATTGCAGAACTATTCTGGGGGTTCATTGGCACTTAGGGTCCTGTGTCAGACACTCCCAGAAAAGTATAGAATATTGTGACACAGCAAAAAGCTCATCAATTAACTTCCCACCGTGTGGTCTTTTACAGCATAAGGGTTTGATATCTGGAGTTATATTCATAATGTAGGAATAACTCCATTGAATTTTCTTTCTTTTATAGCCTCTGGAGTTTAGTATGTGATTGATGTGTGAGTTGGAGTGTATATATGTGCTTGTAGAGTGAGTGTGTAGATTTATAAAATAGGTATTGTGTTTCATCACCTAATTCTTTCTTTCATAACTTACCCACATCTTTTCAAAATAAACATTTTAATTTTAAAGGAGTAAAATTACTTGATCCCCTATCAGAATGGCCCTTCAGAGTTGAACTCTCTAAAACTATAGGGCACCTAGCAGGGACATGAGGTGAAGGCAGAGTCCTGATTTTGAGGGTCTGCTATAATGGGGAGTGAAAGGTGAAAGGAAAGAAAAAAAAAAAAGCAGAAGTGTAAACCTGAAGGTTAAACTTTACACAGGTAAGTCACACTTTTGATTTATTATGATATCCCCTTTGAATGGGATAATGAACCAAATCCTAATTCTGACCGAGATCTGATCTCAGATTTTGGGCTGTGCATCCCCACATTGAGTTTTTGAGAAAAGCTCCTGAGCCAAGGAATAGGCAAGAATGGAGAAGTTACTGAAAAACTATCGCCTAGTTCAGCAGTGTCCAATCTTTTGTCTTACCTGGGCCACTTTGGAAGAAGGAGACTTGTCTATGGCCAAACATAAAATACATTAGCACTAGCAATAGCTGATGAGCTAAAAACAAAAAAACAAAAAAACAAAAAAAACTCATAATGTTTTAAGGAAGTTTACGAATTTGTGTTGGGCCACATTCAAAGCCATCCTGGGCTGCATGTGGCCCATGGGCTTTGGGTTGGACACACTTATCCTAGTTAGAAGATAACCTTTTGTGGTATAAAGACAGAGAATTTATATGGGAAAAAATGTCTTCCTAAAAATGTTAAGCGATGTTCCACAAAGGGCAACATTACATGTATTATAATCTTTCTTCATGTCAACTAATAAACATACATTTAGAAAGGTCAATTATGAAATATAAAAACTATAAGAAATAGGAATTTCTAAAGTATCTGTTCACTAAAAAATATGTTTATTATCTAACACATATACATAGTACACATATGATGTAGGGAAAAGTTAAATGCTCAATATCTCTAAGTAGTCAATCTACATTATAAAATATTCCGTAATGTCTTACACATCTTTTTCTTGATTAGAAAACTGGATGTGTGTTTATGTATCTGTGCATGTTTAAATAAATATCTTTTTTTAAAGTAGTCATCCAATCCTTTCATTTGGTGGGAGGGAAAGATGTGATGAGAACACCTGTTGGACAATAATGTAACAACCTATGTATTTCCACAAATGTTTCAGATAGGATGTCTGCAAAAATGAGTGTGGGGGGACTTTTCTGAAGCAATACAAAGCATAGATTTGCCATCAGTATGTTTGTTTTTATTAGGCGTATATTCTATTGAGATTTACTGTTTTCAAGGGCCATAACATAAAAGATAATTTTAAGCAAAAAATGTATACAAGTTCTTTTTACTGGATCCTCTTAAACTCACTGATTGAAAAGTAAAAGAGAAAGTAAAAGAAGATCAAATATGTAAGGTTTTATCTGTGTGAAGTTTAATCTACTTAGACATTCTTTGAACAGATTAACAAACATATTCTTGATAATCAGCCTTTCTCCTCTAGCTTAATCTCATTTTAGTCTTATTGCTCACAGTGCAAACTTTCATTTATATAGTTGTAGACAGAATCGTTTTTCTTTTACATTCCTGAAATATCTTTGACCTAAACCATCAAGAAATCCGTTGTCCTTTTTTGGTCTAATAACGCAGCTTAACAAGCAGTATCAGACATCACTTTGTGATAATACCAGAACAAACTATGGTGCTTCATAATTTGAAAGTAATAATACTAAAGATGAAACTTCTGGTTGGACTTGGTGGATATTCCTTGAAATGAGGATTGTTAAGGCATTTAGATGAAAGGAAATGCTTTCTTTTGTCACTTCACTGTTCGTTTAATGCTTCTGCATCTTTTAATACAATTGTCGTTCCACTAACTGGCCATCATGAAATAGTATCACCCTTTTGCCTTCAAATGTTATTTCCACAAAAAATAGTCAGTTCTGTCCAACAGAAAAGACTTTTATTTTCTCCTGAGATTCCTTTATACTTCTTTAGTAGAATTCGGGAGATTTTCTAAGCAATGGAACCTCTTGTTATCATACTTTGGGCTTAAAATAATGTAGACAACTCTGTGAAAATGAGAAGGTTAAGCTTGACTCCGATATGCTCACCCAAAATGTACTACTTAATCTCAAACCTGTATTCAGCAACAGCTGCATGGTACCATTAGCCCTAAGCTGCTAAGCAGGGTTGCTCAGACTCAACAATTGTCAGAATACAAACTGGAGTTAGGTTTAATCTTAAGTATTCATTTATCTTTTCATAATTCAGGAATGAAAAGGAAAGCTTACTATGCTTTTTAAGTGAGAAAGACTTTTAATGAATATTGTTTTGATGTGACCATCTGTTCATACAGCCAACTCTTGATTATCTAAGGTGAGAGAATACTGGGATAGGATGCATTGTTGAAATGCACACATTATCCTCATTTGGGCAAATAGATTCAGCCTCCCCAACAAATCATTTAATAAAGAAATAATAAAATCTGGGAGTTTCTCCTTTTTTTACTCCTTTTTCTCGCCACCTGACAGAGATACCAATGTGCAGTGAACTGAAAGGAGGAGAGAAAGTCTTGAAAAGTCTGTGAAGTGGTCAACCCATTTCTAAATCAAGAGTTGACTGAATTGTAGAATCTCACCAAACTTTCTGAAAGTAGACAGTTTTTATATTTATCTTTGTAGAAAGTATTGAGCTAGGAACAAATTTGCCATGTTTTTCTCCAGATACTGTGACTGAGTGAATATTATTCTATAATGCTGTATGATTTTCCTGTGTAGGGTGAACCAGGGCTTCCTGGGCTTCCTGGACTTCCGGGGATAAAGGTAAATACTGCACGGACAGTCTTGGCTTCATAGAACTGTAATTATGAGATTCGCCCAAATTAGAGCAAAATAGGGAAAACAATGGAAACTAAAAATACAATGCTGTTCTCTAGGTACTCTCCAGCCATCTCAACTAACTAAATTTTTAAATTAAAAATTAAGCACAGATACCTCTAAAGTTTGTGATGGCTATATGGATTGTTTATTTCTCCATTTAACTTATTGCCCCTTAAATAAAGGTAAATGTCACTTCATTTGAAGTCATAGAAATTCTTTAAAGTCTAAAATGTCTCTTTACCTTCACCTTTTAATTTTATTCTTAAGACCCTATCAGATTTTGACCAGAATTAGAGTCTTAACAACCCCATAAATCTAACATTTTGGCAGCTGTTTTGTCATTCACTCATTAAAATAATACCTCTAAAACATTCATCTTCTACTTCCTCTCAATCATTATCCCTTCAAAGTACAAATCATATTACTAAAATATTTTGACCCAACACATACACATAAAAGTCTCCATAAACTTTCTAAGTATCTTTTGAAATAATTGCTTAAAGCTTAGTTTGGAAACATTTGTTTTAAATTGGTGTAAATCACTTAAAAATATTAAAAGCATTTAAAAAAAATCGTTTAAAAATTTTCACATGGCAACCGAAAAGGCTTAAAGTTCTACTTCCTTAGCTATAGTTGCTCCTTTAAAATCAGCTTCTTATTTTAAAAAGCTTTTTTATATTCTAGAACTACTTAATAGGGGTTAACATAATGCAAATACATTTTCCTTTTGTTGTTCTCATCTTCCAAAGTTTTGAATCAATCTCTGTTGTACATTAGTCCATTCTAAAGTCAGCATTCCTAGGCCAGGCACAGTGGCTCATGCCTGTAATCCCAGCACTTTGGGAGGCCAAGGTGGGCAGATCACTTGAGGTCAGGAGTTCGAAACCAGCCTGGCTAACATGGTGAAACCCTGTCTTTTTATTTTATTTTATTTTTTTATAGTTATACTGCGTTCAGAGAAACCCTGTCTTTACAAAAAATACAAAAATATTAACCAGTTGTGATCTCAGCCACTCAGGAGGCTGAGACAGGAGGATCTCTTGAACGCAGGAGGCAGAGGTTGCAGTGAGCTGAGATCACGCCACTGCTCTCCAGCCTGGGCAACACAGCAAGATTCTGTCTCAAAAAAAAGAAAAATAAACTTAGCATTCCTACTTCTAGTGTGAGAGTTGTGTATACTGTTTTATGAAGGTTCTGCTTCAAGTGTGAGTTATGTGAAATAATATGATTTTAGGATAGATGTGAAATTATTGAGTTCTCAGAGGTCATGTGATATCATATATAATATTTTATGAATATTTTGGTATAATTAATAGCCATGAAAGCTATGTCTTTTTGATTGGCATTCAGCAATTTTAGTTCTGGCTTTTTGCTTGATGTTTCTAGATTAGTATCACAAAAGCTCAGATATGTCCTTTTAATAGATTTTTAGTCTTTGACTTCTTTAGTAAAGTGCACTCTGTGACAACAGTTTACTAAAGAGTTAAAGTCACTTCCTTATCATTTGACATGTAGCAAAAATAACTTCACAAATTAATAGGTGGTTTCATATTATAGAGTTAAATTATGGCATTCCTTAGTTAACAGCCACGCTTAAAAAAAAAGATGGCATTTTACAAATAATGGGAAGATAACAATTTTAAAACAAATAAGAAAGTGGTATTTAGTGTTAATTAAAAAGAACCTTGTAGCATTATAAATAAAGGAGAAGGCATTTAAAAGGAGAGGTTTTAGGAAGGGCTGAAGCAGTTTCTGCAGCAAGTGCTTGTAGGTTATCAGGGTACCAGCTCCTGTCACAGGAACCTGTGTGCTTTGAAATCCAGCTGTCTCTTTTCCTGAGCTTGAAGCACTTTCTTAGAGAGAATGAGTACCTGAGAATGGGGATTGATTATTTCCCTCTAAAGCAAAAAAAAAAAAAAAAAAGCAATTTTGATACAATGTTGATACTGATTATACAAAAGCAATTTTGATTACACTATACTATATTATCATCATCTTACTTTAGTCTTATATCCTCCACCACAAAAAATATCCCACTGGACCCTCAGAATTTGCCTAGTCATCTGTGGACTAGTCAGAATGTTTTGAGCTTTTTCTAGTTGGGAGGGATGTTAAATGATTTGCCACCTCTAGCAAATGCCTTTATTCCTAGGGTCATAGGAAATGGCCCAGGTGTAGCTTGTCGAGGTCAGGTAGCTTTGATATTTTCTTTTATTTTTCTCTCCTTGACTGCTGACTATAGCAGAAAGAAGCTATTAATTGGCAAAAAATCTTTTCATCAATCACTAGAGATACTTTTCTACATAATTATCAAGTACCGTTGGGTAACTATCTGGTATTTTATATAAATCTTAGGTTCTGTTTTTGGTTTATTAAACTTTGTCATCTTACTCTAATCAGGATGTGGGAGAGATATGCTTTCCTTTTAATGTAGTCAGTGCTCACTATCAATTAGTAATTTTGAAAAGGAAACAATTTAAAGATACATCAGCTGGGTGTGGTGGCTCACGCCTGTAATCCCAGCACTTTGGGAGGCCAAGGTGGGTGGCTCACCTGAGGTCAGTAGTTTGAGACCAGCCTGGCCAACATGGTAAAACCTCATTTCTACTTAAAAGAATACAAAGATTAGCCAAGCATGGG